GGGGGCCCCCCCAGACGTCCGGGGGGCCCCCCCAGACCCGGCAAACGTCCGACACCCCCCAGACAGGCAGAACGAAGCTTTAGTGGCCGTGTGCTCGTGTTTTTTTTTTCTCTCCATTTGTTTTTCCTTGCGTTTTGCCTCTATCGGAGCAGATTTCGGCCGCGGAGCTTGCGTGGGTCAGGCGTACAAAAGGTCCAAATCGCGCCTTTCAGGGCACTAATTTTACCATTTTCCTCACAAGGGCCAGGCGCCGTGGACCGCCATGAGGTCTTGCTATATGGCCTCAGCTATAGTTGGGAAGGATCTGTCGCAAGGCTCCGAGCGGCTTCGGTGATTTTTGCTTCTAAACGATGGATTTCGACGAAATGGCAAAGTACTGCGGCCGGTTTTAGGTTCATTTTTTCAAAACAATTATTAGTGGAGCGATAGTTCTCCTACAAAACCTCCTGCGTTCGGTAACGGTTTTGGTTTTGGGACGGTTGGGTTTTCACTTCGGGAAGTGGTGTCTGCGCAGGAGGTTTTGGACGAAACACCAAAATCCAAATTTATGCTCCCTGGCTGCAAGTCTGCACAGCAAATTTTTGCATTTTCGGGAACCCTCTCCTCCCTAATCATATAGGGTTCTTGACATTTTGAAATCTGATACTGCTAAGGGTTCAAAAAGGGAAGCTAGAAAACAAGACCTCCCATAGGGCCACTCCATTTGAGGCACGGCGATGTCCTGGAGGCATCTCCTGCAGGCTGCTGTGGCGTTCTCTACAGGTGTCACGTTTGGGTAGCTGGAGGCTAGACCTGGAAAGCAGAAATGGCGCGAAGTCTGCATGCGTGCTCGGCTCTGCATGTGTCCTTGCCTTGTACTGCCTGCCTGTTGATCTGACTGCGTGCCTCGGAGAGTCATCGACATGAGAGCTGAAGCCATTTCATTTTGTACGAGGCTAGCTGTTCTCCACTCGTTCTCAAATCATGGCGCCCAAGGTGCAGCCACCGGCTGCTGTGGTTGCTTTCGGCAACACTGCGTATGCTCTGAAAATCCGGCCGTACTGGCTGGGGCAGATTCTGCGCGGTGAGAAGCGCCTCGAGATTCGCGGCTGCCGCTGCGCTCATCCGGAGAAGATCACCCTGATGGAAACCGGCACCTTGCTCCTGCGGGCGCGCGCTACGATCGCGGAGTGCCGCCTGATGACGGACACGGAGATGGTCGAGAATCACGAGGCTGTGTCCGCGACATGGCTGCAGTTGCTTTGTAATGCTGCGTAGTTCTATGTGTCAGCCTCCGAGCAGACCCAACTAAGGCACTTGACTACAAGGAGTACTGGGCATGGACGCTGACCGAGGTCAAGATTCTGGATCCGCCTATCCCCGTTCCGTCCATTGTGGCACGAGGCTCCGTTACATGGATGCTGCGTGCTCGCTGGGAAGCTTGGGACAAAGGCCTCCTGCGGAAGCCGGCCACGATCCCGGACTTCTTCACGGCCGGCGCCGCTTCCACCACGGGTCCTTCCGCTTCGTCGCGGTCGCGAAGTCGGTCACCTCCCAGCGGCCAGGACAGCGAGGCCAAACCCTGAGCGTTTTGAGGATAGTGGATTGTTCTTTCAAGTTGCGCCTGTCCAGACGCGGCCTCAGTACTTGCGGGCGGTAGAGTTCTGGATGGTCGCGACGCAACCATGCGTGTTGAGGGGTCCCCAGCTACAGATGAAGGGCTACCATGACTGAATTGCAGAGCGAGCATCACGCAAAAGATCGGCTTGCCTCGATCTGCTCGGATGCACGGCCACATGTGACTAGGACTTGACATGAAGCTGCTTTGGTAGGTCAATATCAATGATTGTGTCTGCTGTCTGCGATGGCTCCTTTAGCGTGGCCGGGATAGAGATTTCGCATTTTGTACTTCGCCTCCGCCTACCCCGTCATGTCACGGTCCTTGAGCTTCTTCGCCCTGTGCTCGGGCGGCACCGACGGCTGCTCGTGGAAGCAAGCGCAGGGACTCCCGCTAGATGCTGCGACGCTGTCCTCTGTGTGATCACGCCAGCTTGCGCTCGGCCATGACAAGCCGGAATGGGCAGGAGATCACCAGCGCGCTGGTGATCCTCGAGGCGGCCTCCTCGGAGCTCTACACTGCG